CCACTTGAGAGTATTCCTGCTGCCAACATCTGTATTAGAGGGGAAAAATGGTAGGGGTGGCCAATGATTGGCTAAGGGTGGCCATGGCCATCCCGGACCCCCCATCTAGCTCTGCCCCTGTTGGAGAGTAACATCCTCTCTGCACGTGCCATGCAGCTTATTTTATAGGTTCTTTTTCAATGTGGTTTATGGTATTGAAATTATGATTTTTGAAGAAGCAATCTATACTGTCAGTTTAACAACAGTGAGAATTGTACCTATGCTACAAGAAGATGACATCTCATCCTCAGTCCAGTCACCAGTTTTGCCTCACCACACTGAGGATTGGTATCACTTTTTTCAGACAGAACGGCCAATGTGTGTTAATCACTTTGGCTCAAACAGCCAATATGATCCTATAAATCACCAATGATGTAGAGATACATGCTGTATACAGGCCACTCTATACCTTTACCTCCCTGATAAGCTGAGGAAAACTTTGCTATCAGAAAATAGTATTAATCATATTTAATAAGAAATAAGGTAAGTGGTCTTCATCCAAGCAGCATTTATTCACCTTTGTAAGAGGACCAGAGTTTGCCCTTTTCTTTTTGTTCTGGCAGGACAAAGGATTTGTCTTAATATTGAAGAAGAAAAAAGGAAAACCTGGATGGTTTTGCATGCACACAACTTCAAATCAAGTAGATAGTTTTTCACTATTATTTTTTTTAAGCTCAACTCCAAAATGTATTTCCACTAATGCATTTCCCTGACAAAGACGTTATATTTCTAGGAGCAAAAAATGTCTTTCTGAGACTTTATAATAAATTACCAAGAAGCAATTGTATTTGACTGCATATATTTACTTTCAAGAAAAGAGAAAATTTTTGATGTCATGTTAACCTGTGCCACAGAGCTTCAACCAAACATATAAGGAATTATTGTTCTGCCATAGGAACAACTGCTATCCCTTTCTGTTGGAAGGAAGAGGCCGTGCCATTTGCGTTTATATGCCCCACATACAATCCAGACACCCTCCACAGCTGTGAGTAGGACTTCAGTAGGAATGATAGTTAAGGTTTAGTGGTTAGGGAGCAGTTTGGGATTTAGCCTAAACCTAAAGGACATTATGCTCATATTCTGGCCAAGGAAGACAGATGGTTTAAAAGAGGGGTTAAGGAAGCCATCTTGGTTAACATGGAAAAACAGAGGAGGTGGTCTTAGACATAACCTTCCCCTACTTACAAAGCACTTTTAGGAACAACACCCAGAAGATTCGCCTCTCACCTGACTAACACTCTAATGAGGCATGTGACCGAAATCACTCTGACGAGGGAGTTAACAAATCATCAAAACCCCCTGATGACCATTAACACCTCCCAGGTGACCTCATCGGCCAATCCAGAGAGAAGGATCTGATCCACCTTTTCTTTTCCCTTGTATTACACCGACAGCATATTTATCTCATTGCTTCCCACCAGCAGTCAGAATTGGTGAAGCGTCTTGGATGAGAGGTGAAACGTCTTCTAGAAACTTCATGTCCTGTTGCCTAAACTGAACTATTCAGCACTGATGACACACTTTTTTGTTATTTTATGTGTAGCATTTATTCTTATTACTTCTTTGTATTTATTCATTTGTTCACGTGGGATTATTTTTCTCATTGAAAAGTTTTACTGGAATGAAAAGATGTGTTATCCAGAAAATGTCACAAACTTTTGATGTTGCAAAATTACATGAACTAAGTCTCTCTTTTTTGTCTTTTTACTGGAAATTATTATTTTACACTTTTGAAGTGCATTGAATGGAAACTAGGTTTTTAAATAAATACATAAATAAAAAGATTAATAAATTACATTATTTTGTTAAAAAACAGATGTTTTGGGTCATTACAGCCCAAAACATGTGGACGTGACGCAGAGCGCATCGTCTCTCTCTTTCTTCTCCCAGCACGCTTTCTGATTGGTGGAAATACCCGGAAGCGAGTGAGGGATATTATTTCGTCACTCAGGCGACTCCAAAAACCTCTCTTTCACTAACACGCGCTTCCTCTCTTCAGGTTGTCAAGAAACACCGACCACTTCTTGTTCATCCTGTTTAGGAGCTGCCGTGGAGTCAGGAATAATCCAATAGCATCGCCGCAGGCCGCTTGGAAGAACCAAAGTTACCGGAAGTACAGCGCAGAGGACGTTGGTGTGAGGATGGCTGCCTACAAGCTGGTTCTGATTCGCCACGGAGAGAGCGTCTGGAATCAGGAGAACCGCTTTTGCGGCTGGTTCGACGCCGACCTTAGTGAGACAGGAGAGAAGGAAGCAAAGAGGGGAGGACAGGCCCTGAAAGGTAGGATAGAAAGGGCGCAGGCAGCGGGGCTAATCGGACTCTCCTTCACTAAGCCCCTGAATAGATGGTTATGTAACTCTGGAGGATGAAGAAACAAAAAAAAAAAACAATCCAAAAGCTGCAAACAAATTGGAATAGGTCATAAACCTGCTTAAAAAATAGTTTTATTTTCGACAGAAATTAGAAAGTAAAATGCAAGCCTCATGTTTTTTCTTTTGCAAAAACCAGCCATAATAGATTTAATTAATCATTCATATTTAAAATAAAATGTGCATATAAACGAGCTCCTTGCAGAATACCTACAGAATGGGTAGACCGTTAACAAAAAGGTTTGGGCAAGTGGAAATTTCCTATGAGTCACTCTGAAATTTCAAAACGTGTTCATGCACAGACCCTGTCAATTTGACATACATTTCCCCTACATGCACATTATACAGACACAAAGCCATGAGGCTGAATACTGACAGAAGTATAGCTTTTCTGTAAGGGGAATCATAGGATGCAGATCAGTGTAGGACAGAAATATTACCTTCAGACTAATATATCCATTTTTTTGTTGTTTTAAAATGTTTTAAAGTCTACATGCGATGCATTTTTTGGGGGGGAGTGACCCATTATTACAAAGTAGAAAATTAGTAAATGATGAAAGAGAAGTATGCACCACTATGAAGCCATAGAAGCATATTTTTTTCTAAAGCCTTTAATTGGCATTCAAGCCTTTTCGTCACTACTCAAAAACAGACATTTTCAGTTGAGTAAGTTAACATGCAGATTTTCTATTGTTCTACAGACTGAATTGATTTTAGATCTGGGCTTTTATTGAACCAATCTAATGTGGGACATTATTTTAAAACCTCCACCCTTTTTTTCCCGAGATACCGTGCATAGTGCCAGATTTAGAGAGACAGCAAGCTGCTGCAGATTTATGTATTTGCAAACGACTGGATTTGGCTTGTTTGAAATGCACACAGTTGGACTTTATTTAGTATTAAGGTGACTTCTGAAGGATGTTGACTTCCTTAAGTATTTATGGTTATTAGACTAAAGGGGGCAGATACAAATGAATGCCACAATTCAGATTTTTGTTCACTTTCACGTTTGGCTGTCACACACAATCCTAAGAAATGCTATGCATTAGAACACATTAGAAATGCGTAATCAATAATTTTGCATGGTGTTTATTCTGTTAATATACATTTTCCTACTCTGTCAAATGCTCATGATACACTTCTCTCTGTTTGACCTTAGATGCTGGCTATGAATTTGATATCTGCTACACCTCTGTTCTTAAGAGGGCTATCCGTACGCTGTGGTTCGTGCTGGACGGCATTGACCAAATGTGGCTGCCCGTCCACCGGACCTGGCGGCTCAATGAGCGCCACTACGGTGGCCTGACGGGGCTGAATAAAGCTGAAACGGCTGCCAAACACGGCGAGGCTCAGGTCAAGATTTGGAGGCGTTCATTTGATATTCCTCCCCCACCCATGGATGAGGGTCACAACTTCTACCAGGCTATTAGCAAGGTGAACAGCTCAGGAAAGCTGTGACACAACAAAGATTGTTCTGATACAAGTGCTTACTTCAGTGTTTTCTGTTGAACCAACAATGCTGTGTTTCCTTTTGTGGTAGGACCGGCGTTATGGTGACCTTACTGAGGATCAGCTGCCTAGCTGTGAAAGTCTCAAGGACACCATTGCCAGAGCACTTCCTTTCTGGAACGAGGAAATTGTTCCCCAGATCAAGGAGGGGAAGAGGGTCCTGATTGCTGCTCATGGCAACAGCCTGCGGGGCATCGTTAAGCATCTTGAGGGTAAGGGAAAAGAAATGAAGGGAAGATTAAGTATAAATAATAAATTTAAAAAAAAGCTTGATTTGAAAGAAATGTTATGTTTAAATAACAAATTAAATCAATGATTACTAGCATTTGCTAAAGATATAAATGTATAATATTTTTGTCCATATTAATGTAGTTTAGTAATTCCTTTTCCTGAAACTAATAGAATAAAAAAGAACTACTGGTCTTCTTTTAAGAAGAATTTATCTCTGTTTAATTTCATAAGGCTGGTCCACTTTGTCAGGTGTTGTTTTTTTTTTTTTTTTTTAAGCTTGAGAGATTCCACACTAAAGCAGAGTTCACACCAGGATTTGTCATTACCGGTAACTTAGTGGGGCAGGGGGTCAGTAATTTATGTCATAATGATGGTAAATTAATTTTGGTAAGACAGAAGGTAATTCAAATACTTTTAAAACTCAAGATTTGCTTTATAACAATATTTCTAGTATTCCAAAAAATCTTGACTTAAACTAAAACAACATAAGTCAATCGGTTATCAATTTCTTCTTAAGGACAGTTAGCAGAGGCACACAGTGGAATTAATAAAATGTGGGAGGGATGTATTGTAGGGAAAAGGGGATAAAATATATAGTTGCATCCTTATATTCAGGGGAAATCAGTGGAAGCTTTGGGCATGTGTGAGTACATTTCAGTTTAGAAGCAGGAGTCGCTCTTCTCTCTCTGATTACAGAAAAAGGCCGTAGCTGCTCGCTTATGGCTGAAGACCATAAACTCATAGCAAACAATGCTTTTAAACTTAACCACTAAACGTTCAGAAAGTCATTTAAAATGGTGTAATCACTATATAGTACCCTATATAATCACTATATAGTACCCTATATAGTGATTAGGGCGGACTTTTGGACACAGCAATGGTGTTGGCATAATTCTAATGTAATTCTACAGGTTTCAGTTTAACAACAGTCTGTTCTGAAATGTGCTGGGGAGGAAGCCCAAATGTCAGTCAAATGCCTGTTGGGTCATTAAACAAATTTTTTATGAGCCTTATTTTCAGTGTAAAGGCCGACAAGTTGGAAATACATTACAGAGAACCCTTAAGAGGTCAATGATGAGGGTTTTTAAAGGCTGATCAGGCTATTTCTAATCCAAACATAATGATTAAAAGCAAGCTTGTTTTGGTTGCAGTGTGTCATGTCAGGCCACACAACAAAAGCAAAGACATTTAAACCAGGACAATTAGTTGACAGAAATATCAGACCCATGTCACACATGCAGCAAAAAAATCAGCTTATGCAGAAAACTTTATAGCCAAATAGGGCTTTTTTTTAATGCTCTTTAAAGCACAGACAATGAGATTAAAAAAAAGACAAAATGAAAAAAGATTTTCTTAATATTTAAACAGAGAAAACCAAACTTTGAACAAACATCTTGAAGTTCAGTCTATGATTTTTAGCAGTGAGTAATAACTGCTCATTTAAAGATGCAAAAAATCTAAACACTAAAAATGGTTGGAATATTTTGATTAAATAAAAGTAAATGATTATAAAAGCTACATTGTTAACCTACTTGTAATGGTATTTTAATGGTGTAGGAAGATGGACTGATTTCAGTAATGCTGGTGTTGCGGGTTGATCTCCAGCTAAGCCTGGCCAAATGCTTGAAGAGCGGTTTGACCTATTTAGTGATTGATTTAACTTTAATTTGTTGGATCAGTGCAGTCATACAGCTGTGGATGCTTCTTCTAAAATCCATAAATTTATTGGTTTTTCATTTTGCAACATTAATAATTCAAATTCTGCCCCTGAGATCAATTTTATTGCATTTTTAAAAAAGGTAAAAAAAAAAAAAATGTTTTCCATATTATCAACAAGCTTTATAGGAGACTTTACCTGGATTATTAAGTTTACTAAATGACATAAAATCAATTGTTTTAACTTTTGTCTATACATACTGGCCCTAAAAATGTAATATAAAAAACCTTTGCAGAAAACCTGAAATAAAATAACATGACATTTGAGTGTTCCTTTTTCCCAGGTATGTCAGAGGAAGCCATCATGGAGCTGAACCTGCCCACAGGCATTCCCATCGTGTATGAGCTGGACAAAAACCTGAAGCCCTTAGGACCAATGCAGTTCTTGGGAGACGAAGAGACCGTCAGGAAGGCCATGGAAGCAGTGGCCGCTCAGGGCAAAGCCAAGAAATAGACTCGTCCTTCCTGCTGAAGCACAGAATATAGACCAATCATCCTCTTCTCACACATTCTGTTAAGAAAAAAAAAAGGTTATTTAATGTTTGTCATCACAGACTTGCACACAAGTAGACCCAAAATGTGCACTTTACTAATTATTTCTGGCTTAAACACAATCAGCCTGTTGCTTGTGTTTATTGGTCGTAGTTATACGCTGAAAAACACATTTCATTCTTAGACCCTTGAACATAGTTGAAGCACTGACCAAATAGGCAATTAGGGACCAGAGAGTGGTGACAGAATGGAAATCGGATGAGCTGATCTGCAGCTTACAAGCAGTGTCTGCAGGTAAACCTTACTGGGAACACCGCTGGCTGCTGTTGAAAAGGGCAAAGTGTTTCATTGTACACTGCTTAACATTGTTTGCTGTGGCAAAAAAGAATAAATATTTGTGACATCATTTAATGATTTATTTTTTTCTCCTATATATAGTGTGTGTGTGTGTGTGTGTGTGTGGGGGGGGGGTACTTTTTAAAGATAAGTTTAGTCACTAAAGATCTCTGAAGGTTCGGCAGTTGTTTGTGTAGCTTTGGCCATGGAAATCTAATTACTAAAACTGTAAATTAATTGACTTATCTTGTAAATCTGTTATTTTTTCCTCAAGTGGTCCCTATTTTGCAAAAAAAAAAAAAAATAAATATAACACTCTAAAGAAATTCAGGCACAGTGCTTCCCCCAAGTGGGAGAATTTTGTGTGACATTTCAGCATCTAAAAGCAATCATACATTTAATTTGTGCAGTCATTTTTTGGTTCAGGGTGAAAGACCACAGTGAGTATTTTCTCAATGCTGAATCTCTTATTTTTGAAGCATAACACAAACATTATTTACCAGGAAACAGGATTTATGCCTAAAAATATAAATTTTGCAGACAGTGTTTATCTTTGATTATGTAGCCATTTATTTGATTCTGAGTGGAATGACATCACATGGGTGAATATATAGATGTTTTTACTTTACAGATTTTATTAATATATGATTAACAAGTGGTGCACAAATATGAAATCTGAAACAGATTTGTGAAATTTGAACATTTCTGAGCAAACAGGAAATACTGTACTGCAGTTGGACAGAAAGGAAGTTGTGGAGAAGTTTAAAGAAGCATTTGGTTATAAAGGTTTGCAGGCTTTGCATTTTTATCGTATTGCTGTTCAACCTACCATGAAAATCTTAAGAATATGGCACAAAAGCAACACTGCATTCCCCAGAACACGCATAATGATGGCAGCATGATGCTCTTGGGATTCATCAGCATGGACAAGAAAGTAGGTCCGAGTTATGTCAAAATGCATTGAGCAAATAGAGAGGGGATGAGGTTCCTCTTAAAGCTGTGGAAGGGTTCAGATCAAAGTATTAATTTACTTAAAAGGCCCACAATCCACACCAAAATCAGAAGGAAGGGAATATGTATTAAGTCTTGAAAGCTGCACACAAATTTCCTCCATTTAATCTAACAGAGCTGAAGGTATTTCTCAATATATGTGCTACATTTTTTTTTCTTTTAAGGTATAAGAGACTGAATTTATATTTATCATATTTTCTCTTAAGGAACTGAATGTTGTGGGTGAAATCGGCTGGGTTGTGCTCTGCTTTGCCTGTTGTGTGGCCTGAGATGACACACTGTGCAACCAAAACTCTTTTATCCCAGATTGTTTTTAATTGTCATATTGATTAGAGATGACATGCTAAGGCTTTTACAGTATTAGCTCAGGGAAAATTAATACACATTCCCTATACATATTTAAGACTTTGAGGAGCAAAACATTTTTATTTTAACCATTATGAAACAGTTTGTTATGTAACAATACTGGATTTGCAACATGTAAAATCAAATCTTTTATGAAAGAAAACCTGCTGATTTACTTTGGGTTCTTGCACATGTGGGAGTGGAAGATAACAAGAGAACAATAATGCTTTACAACTCCAGCTTATATGGAGGATTGTAAAATGGACTACAAACCACCATGAAAGTTCACCAACCTGCTAACCTCCCTCCATCCTCACTCATACAGATTACATTTACAGTATTTGTCTTATCGCAGTAAAAAAAAAAATCAGAAAGTCTATGCATTTCTAAATTTAAAAAAATATATATATTTATGGCATATGAGATGTAACTCATTTAAAAAAAAATAGTGGAGGTGTCCTTATAAAGAGGAATTATCCATTTGCCACTGGTCTTAGAATTTATAAAGGTTAATATATTTAAACTACTAGGAAAACATGGATGACAAATGAATGACACTCCAGATAATTAATTCCGCATATTTTATAGGAAGCATATCAGATGGAGGCTAAACCGACAGGAATGAATGTCCCTAGATACGTTTGTTTTGTTTTTCTTTTCTCCACTTGTATCGCCTGTTACACCTCCTGTCCGGTAGGTGGCTCTAAAGCATCCTAAAGCTGATTTGGTGAAGAAGAAAGAAAACTGTCCAATCAGAATCTTACCCTGCTCTGGTCATAGCCAATGAGGTGGCCCTTTGCTCTTCCCCGAAAACATGTCGCCCCTGAGATTGTGTGTCCCAGGTGAGTCCTCGGATTAAACCGTTTGAAATGTGTTGCACTCTGAAGTTAAGCTGTGTTTGTGACATTGCTGCTGTTTTATGTGATAACGAGGTTTATGTGTAGCTTAAAAGTCGGACACCAGGTTCGGTATATTGTCTTCCATAGGCGAAACAGTAGAATATTTGCAGTAACCACGAGTAGACTGCGAGGTCGGTACCCCCGCATATTTAAACTGAGCCAAACCTGAGTAATATAAAAGAGGAAATAAAATAATAATATTTTTTTTTCATATTGTATTTTGTTCTATCGAGTTTGCTCGGCTGTTTAGTTTCTCACCGCAGGTTTCATCACCTGCCCTGCCCATCGCCCCAGGCAGCTCTGCACATTCCTCAGCACTGCTGCTTTATGCACCTAAATTAAACCCGCAACTTCTTATTGTCCCTGAACATAAGCAAGGTTTTATGTCAGTTTTTATTATGAGGCCCAGCATTTAATACTAATGGTTATTGGCTTAAAGAGACACAATTATACACAACATGAATCACAACTCTTAAGTTTAAGTGTATCTGTTTTATAGCTTTTGTCAGTTTCCTTCTGTAATATCTTCTCCAAATCATTCTATGCTTACAATAGTTACCAGAAATAATCAAATCATTTTACCCGAAATTCTCAATCCTCATCTCACCACGTGTATTTCAATATAATCCAGTTTAGATTCCAAATAATGGAACTAAACTCATTGTTTATTAGTGCTTATTAAACCATTTATGCAGTTTTAAAATGTTTATGAATACATAGAGAGCAGGAACGGCTGACAGCTTAAAATTATTACAGTAATTATCATACAAATTGAGATATACTGAGGTTGGTAGAGTACCCAAAAATTGTGCTCAAGTGAAAGTACTTATATTGCAACGTATTTCTACTTGAATAGTTCTTTAGATATGGCAAATTAACCCTTCTTAAAACTCTATTTCTGATGCAGGATAGATAAAGCTAAATTTGACATTTACCAACTGTTGTGCAATTTATCTTTGGTGATGAGCTCCAAATCCATCAATCTAATCCTTAGCTTCCTTCACATATTTTCAATCAGAAGACTCAGGCAACTTAAGCATCACTATTATTTCCAGTCAGAGGAAACATTTTGGTCAATTTAAAAATTACTTGAACCAATGTCAACCATGGCTGGGAATAACTTTACTGTATGTAATGTTTTTTTTTTTTCATTTATTAACTCTCCTCTCCTCTGTATTCAGGTGAGAAACTGTGCAGTGTAGACGACTGCAGAGCTGGCACTGGAGTGTATCAGCGACATGGCTACATATATTCCTCCCTCGCTGGCTATGTGCTGAAGAAAAACGAGGGAGAGGAGGTGAGGTTTACGAGGAGGAGCGAGTTTGGCTGAGTAGTTGAGTGGATGACAGACATTTGGAAAGCTGCCAGATATGCAAGGTTTACATGACAATAATAGTATTATGCAACGTTTTTGAGGCTGACTCACACTAAGCGATGAAAGTGAGAACCTCGGTGAGCAGTGTCAGTGTTGTACCTGCCATTTCAAAGACCTTGGATGTTTTTCCACATCAGGACATTAGAGATGTTTCTTTACTTTGGTCTGTTGTGTCTCAGCGAATATTTATTTGAGAAGCGGAACAATAAATTTTCCTATGATGTTGATATTTATTTATTTTTTTAATTAAAAACAAGTTGCATTTCCTGTCTCTAGGACTGAAGTATATTCAAGAAGCATAAGGATGAAAAAACTATGTTCAGTTAGTCTTCTGTATAAATTTTTTTGTAACATACTGACTCAAGATACATTTCTTCTGGACTGTTTGTGCAAAGGTAGGTTTGCTCTTTAAATCGTGATTGTTGATTTTAGCTTTAGCATATCCAGATTTTTGAGGGTTTATTTATTTAATTTATTAGTTTAGTTAGTTTCAGTATTTAAACATGTCCTCTGGTCACATTGAAAGGTTCCCCACTTCTACAACCTGTTTAAAAGGACTGGATGTCTGTATTTTTCCCTGGGTGGTTTAGAACTCTTCCCACCTCGATCTTAATGGAATAATTTGTCTTGGTGTTTTATTTTTCTTTAGTTTTCATATAATATACATCAGATAAGATTTTAGTCATACAACAGTAAAAGAAGTACTTGAATATTTAGGTGAGATGTACCTTAATCATTTGAAGGAGTTTCATAGTATGTGAAATGTTTTAAACGTTGTGACACAGACTTTAGGATCTGTCAGTCTTTAGAACAGATCCTAAAGTCCCTGACTTATCCTAAACATCAACACTGTTCAGAAACTAAATGCATTCGTCTGTCGGCTGAATGTACTCGCTGTTTTCTATCTTTTTTAATCTGTAATGTTTCATAATGAAACAATGGTCTTTGGTTTCCTCTTTCATAAGAGGCACACAGTCCCAGCTGATTTGTTTCAGTTGTTAACCATTTTCCTGAATATTTTATTTTTATCTACTGTTTCACACAAACCTTTTTTTCCAATACTTAATACTTGATGTATACATAGAATCGAAAATCTTTACATGTTGTGCATTATATAATTATTCAGTATTTAAGTTGTATTGCATAAGAATTTGATGTCTTCTACAACAGAGTCTGTATTTAAATCTGAGCAATACTAATTACATTTGAATAGGGTTAATTAGGTATTTGTCTTTACATTTCTAGCTACCAGTGATATCTGTGGTTAGGGAAACAGAAGCACAGCTGCTGCCGGATGTTGGAGCCATAGTCACCTGCAAGGTATGTAAATGGAAACGGTTTACTATAGTTTGATTGTGGCTTGGTGGCCTAGAAAAAAGTCACATTATGCAGATGACACTTTGATATTACAAAGAGAAACTAAATTATTTCCCAAGCCACAAATATAGTTTGGCACCTTAACATTCAGCATAAATCAAAAACTCCAAAGTTTTTAATGTTATCCACATCATCGTTAAGCTCAATAAATCTAAAAGGCACAGATATGTTAGCACAAGTTAATACATTTCTGTTTTCCAGGAAAAAAATAAATTATTGTCTTATAATCTCAGTTTCCTTGTTTGTTTTTTTTTCTTCCACACAATCATCCAATACTTTCCTTGTACCCAACAGGTATAATAATTCTGTGAATAGAAAACTTATCCATGCTAATTCCAGAACTATACAAAAGCACCTGCAACCTATAAACATGTGCATCTAAATAAATTAGAATATAATTAAAGTGTTATTCAAGGCAACTGTTGGCTTTGAATAAGTCTATCCCTTTATCTTGTGCATAATTTTTAATATCCGTCTTTCCTTTTCTAACAACACTGGATACTGCAATCGGCAAAGGGTCAGCTTTGTAGTTCTAGTGCTTGTGGAAGGTGTTTGCCATCACTTTGTAGGTCATAACATTGTCATTAGATTAAACACTTTTTAGGAATTATATGCATTTAAAGAGGAACTGAATATACTTCAAATTATTCACTGATGATAAGATGAAATGTCATCAAGACTTAAAATGTATTATTTTTAGTACTGGGACTTTAATGCAATAATTTCAATTAATTATTAGAAACATTTTAACACTTAAAAATATTATGCAGTAATTGCAATTTCTTATATGCATACGGATAGACAGGAGCACAAGCCTGTTTGAACTCATAAAATCCTTGTTGGATTTATTAAACTTGTAAGTAGACTATATGAGACCATATACACAGCGGTTGGTTTAGTTTTCTGAAATCTCTCTCTGATCTCCTCAGCTCAGCCCTCACTCTCCTTCTCTCATTGTTTAGCATAGTTAAATAGCAAACTCTCTAGCCGACTGGAGTCTGAGTCGCCTCATGTCCGCTATAAAAGTAATTGTGGAGCGAAAGAGGCTGAGCTTCTCTAAATGGATGCAGCAAAATGTCTGAAAAAATATGGATATATTCAGTGCAAGAAGTGCAGCTGAAAAGTGAAGCAGAGCAGGCTTTAAGGTGTTAAACAGCAGCAGCGGAGGAGGAGAAGGATGTCTGCATAAATCCTAACATACTGGTTACAACTAACTGAAGATATTAGAATTTGCAAAATTTATTAAATGATAATACATTTTTTGTCTGCAAGGATTACTTTCAATATAACAGCAGCATTGGTAAGGGATAAAGAATAGGTTCTGGCATAATGAGAAGATGTGTGTCTGCATTGGGTCAAATATAATGTTACAGTTGTTTTATGTAGGAAGGGTGGAGGGCCTTTTACTTAA